TCAGTAATGCTGAACGGATTCTCTGTATTATTTCTCGGACTTCTCCACCTGGGCATAGGTAATCAGAGTTCACACGCTGATTTGAACCAATGTTCTGTTGTTTTTCAATTTACACGTGTCTTGTTCCCAAATACCTCTGTGTGCGCCTCAGTCTCTAGAACTGTTTGTGTGTGTCCGAGCCTACAGAGCAGTTTGTCTCACACTGGAGAGCTCTCTGTGTCTGTCCTGCAGCCTGTCTCTCAGACGCTGAGTGTCTCTGTAGAGCTGTCTGCTCTGTCTGTGTCCTTTGCACCCTGTTTAGACAGAGACACACGCAGGAGTGAGACTGGTCCCCAATATCCCTTGTCGTCTTCCTCTCTGTCCTCTTCACGAGTGACACCACTGTTCGTCCCGTACCCTGGCTGTGTGTCTGTGCTCACGCCTGCTGCTCTCGTCCTCGCCCCCCCCCCGTCCCCAGTCCCCTCTGTCTCTCCAGGTCCTGGCAAGGAGATCGCGGGAGGATCTTCTCCGAACTGCACCGCCGTCACGACGCCTCCCGAGCTGGGGGTCTTCTCCCTGGCTGGGGGGCGCGGACGCTGCGCCGGGGAGCTGCAGGTGGGTCTGCGTTTCCCCCAGGACGGGCGTCCCGCTGGGCCCGTCTGCAGGGAGAGTCTGGACAACGGCACGGCTGGGGCGGTCTGCACGGCTCTGGGCTGCGGAGCCCTGCTGAGTCTGCAGGGCGCACAGAGGGACACGCTGGGCTACCTGATCAGGAACGGCACTGTGGAGTCATCCCAGTGCATGGCTGTGGCGCACGTTGTCTGTCAAGGTGAGCGGGTGTGAGCGTGCATCATCTCCTTCACCACTGTGGAAACCTGAGACCCTGTTTAGTGGGGCTGCATTTAAAACTGAGGGGGGGGGGGCGCTTCTTTACACAAAGGGTGGTGGGAGTGTGGAACAAGCTATCCACCCATGTTGTTGGACCGGACACCCTGGTTGCCTTGTAGAATGGCTGTCTGTTCTTTGTGAGCTGCCTTGTGTCCCTGCTGTCTAACGTCTCCCTCTTTCTCTCACAAGAGAAATCCCGTCTCCCGGTAAGACTGGCCTCAGCGTTCAAGGAGTCGGCGGTCTCCTGTGCCGGACTGGTCCAAATTCGAGCACATGACGGCTGGAAATATGTCTGCGTCAATAAGGACACATGGGATCTGAATTTTGCCAATGAAACCTGTCAGGAGGTAGGCTGTGGGAACTTGATCCACCACAGTGCTGTCCCAGCAACCCCAGAAGGCACCACAGGGGTGTTCTGCAACAGCACGAACGCTGACTTGCTCAGGTGTCCCATGCTTGTAGAGAAAAATGAGACCTGTCTTCACGCAAGAGTGGTGTGTCAAGGTAAATACTGCCTGTGTGCCCACTTGTGTTACTGGTCTTACTCACCTGTCTGTCAGTGTGTCTG